GAGAGGGTCCAGAGGAGGGCCACCCGCATGATCCGGGGGCAGCAGGGCAGACCCTACAGTGAGAGGCTACGGGACCTGAACCTGTTCATCTTCACAAGAGAAGGCTGAGGGGGGACCTTGTGACTGTCTATAAACTCACTAGGGGTGACCAGAAGGGTTTGGGGGAGACCTTGTTTCCCCTAGCGCCCCCCAGGGATAACAAGGAATAACGGCCACAAGTTGTTGGAGAGTAGGTTTAGATTAGACATCCGTAAGAACTACTTCACAGTTAGGGCGGCTAGGATCTGGAACCAACTTCCAAGGGAAGTGGCACTGGCTCCTACCCTGGAGGTCTTTAAGAAGAGGCTTGATGCCTACGTGGCTGGGGTCATTTGAGCCCAGTTTTCCTCCTGCCCGGGCAGGGGGTCGGACATGAAGATCTACAAGGTCCCTTCTGACCCTACTTCTATGATTCTATGAAGCCTATTTGCTAGGATAAGGTTGTAAATGTACTAGACAGGACAACTTCTAAGGAATAACCAAAATGTAAAATGTATATATATGCATTTATTTATTTTTTTATATTTTGGTTATTTTCTGGGAGAAGTTGTCCAGCTCAGCACATTTGTGATACACACATATATACCTATACATATATTACATACCATTCAGTACACACTTTTAAAAAATCACGACTGAAATGGACCCATAGATCTAATTAAGAACAGCCAAGAAATAGAAGCATTACTCAGGAAATCCTAGGATGACTCGCATATAACCATTCTAAGTCTCAGCATGCAAGGTTTTGTTAACTATTGTTGTGGCTGAAAACGTGGCAACCCTGTAGGAAACAACATCCATTACCATGGGAATTAGAGCTATTTTAACAGCATGACACCTTTTTATTGTATGTTTTTATTTTTATTTTTGATAGATTTTCACTGAAAGAGAACTTTTGATGTAGAGGCTACTTGTACGGAAAAATGTTTTAGATATAGGTTCAGTCTGTTGGGGTGAGACCTCTTGGCACCTGGACCTGAGACCTGTGGAATGTTGGTGCCCTTCCTAGTAACTCAGTTCCTGATTGGAGATAGTTACACAAGTTGACTGCACAGGTACTGTCAAAGTTAATGGCTACTAAAGTCATTTTGGTAGAAGTCTGACTCTGCAGTATATTATATATTTATATTTGTATATACTTAGGTTAACTGGTGAGGACCTCTGTATCTTTTTATAGTTTGGATTTATGATTTGCAAAGCATATTTTCACAAGTATAATTTTGCTTAAAATTTTAGTGATATTTGAGATATAGCTTCTTTTTTTTTTTTTTTTTTTTTTTTTTTTAAGTCTGCTAGTTTTTGCTGCACCCCAGTGAGAGATGATATATATAATGAAAGTAAACGTTTAATATGTACCATACACATTTTTGGATTTTGTTTTCAATATTTGCAATAGACACTGGGTGAAGTAACATTATAAATATTCACTGTATGCAATGTGACTTTTCCATTCCTGTCACACACACATCAACAAGAAAGTAAGTTTATTTAAAGTATAAAACCATAAGCAGAAGCAGATCATGTTTTTAACCATGTGCACAATATTCTATACCAAGAAACCATTTCAAACATTTATTCTTAAAAGTTATTATGACAAAACCTAAGGAATTAGTTTGATAGACAAGGATTATGAGCTCTACAGCAAAAATGAACTTGACCCCCTGGGTGTTTTTTTTTTTTCCTTTAACTGTTTGGCTGTTTGATATGCCTTGCACAAGGCTCCTCCTGCTGTGCCAGATGTATTAGGAAGTCAAGACAGTTCCATCAGGAATTAAATGGCTCATCAAAAGAATACAGCAGTAGAAGAAATGGTTCAGCAAAGCAATTAAACAGCAACAGATGAAAGGCTAGTTTATGTAAAAAGGATCCTCTAGCTTCAATTCCATGGTGCAGTTGAGATTTGAAAGCAGGAATAAAGAGCCTGTCTTCCATACCAACACACCAGAAAGTTAAACTGCTGCATGGAGTTTCTTTGAAATCTACATTTTACATCCCCTTTCAAGCATTTATAATTTTATCACAAAGGTGACTGACAGTAATCATTTTAAGCAGGTTATTTCAACAGCCCAGTTTAATACCATGTCTGAAAGAAACGCTGCTACTCAAAAATTGTACATTAACAGAGATGCCTTTGCATACATATATATTCCCTCACCTGGCTGTAGAGAATGCACTTCATCTAATACCTTCTTGTTGATTTTTATCAAAATTATGAATATAATGGGCAATATCTTACAACACAGCAGCATTAATAAGAATGAAAGTGCAGTTAAAATCACCTCCTTCTGGATCCAAGCTACGAAAAGGTCTCAGAATTCTCAAGGAATTTCAACTGAGCAGATAACTATAATTTACACACATCTAAGTCTTTGAATACATGTATTGATGACCAGATCATTGAAAACCAACTTGTGCTGTCCAGCTGACATGGCAATTTTGGAAGACTGAAATCTCTCCGATACTGTTTCCTACTGAACATATTTCCAAGGAGACAAAATGTTCTCAAAGAAGAACATCCCCTCCTTGATTATTAAATTACCTGTATTTTCTTCTTGGCTTAAAAAACTACCAAGGAGGACAGAAATATGACAAGGTCTAGTGTACATGTCTCTATCCCTTCAACTCTTTGCAGTGCATTAGGAAAACAGTATGAAGACTCAAGCAGAAGGGTACACCAGTAAACCACTCCTATAGCCAGCAGGACAACAATAATGTGGTAAAACAGGCCTTTCCATATTGAAATTGTATGCATAAGAAAATAACGTATGTAGTGTGCATAAGAATGTGGTGTAATGTAAACTGACACCATTGCCTTTGTTTATAAGAGGAAATGAATAAAGAATGAAGATACTGTTTCTTTTTTTTAGACAAACTATTTTCTTCAAAAAACTGGAAGAACATCAGTATGGAAATGTCGGCACAGAAGACAAACTGCTGTTTACAGGGAAGAGAAATTTTTTTATGGAGTCAGATATATCTGATAAACAGTATAGGCAAGGAGGCACAGCAAATTAGCATTATACAAATACAGCCAGATACCAATTATAAAAAAAGGAAATACCCACCTAGTTTTGCCTCAGAAGTGTCCATCTCCCATTTGCTTTTCGGAATGTAACCCTAAATCATACACAGAAAGAAGCTCGGAGGATTAGAGACACACACACATTCATATTACTTTTGAACTGGAAACAGCATTATAATGGGAGTTTAAATTATTTCTTTTGGTAAACTACAGTTCTCAGTTATCAGCAAAATGAAACAGGTAATTCAGTACTTCCATACCCATTTTCTATTCATTGCTTTTAGCTGCTCTTGTGCATTGTTACAAGAATGCTTCTCACTACAAAAAGAACTCTAGAATAAGTTTAACATACAGCAACGGTACTAAACTATGTGCACAGATTTGTCATGCTACCTTGCCCTGAGGGCCATAAATTTGAAAGACAACTGATCATGTGTTACAAATAACAAAATAGTCTAAAAATACAGCTGCAAAAAAATACTGTGTGTAGCAATTTGCTCAGGAATCTTTTTCCAAAATAATTTGGTATCTCCAGATTTCCCTGACTATACTTATATTAAAGGAACATACAAGAATTTAGGATATAAATTAATGGAGTACTGAACTAAATAGTTAAATGTGAATTTTTACTAGTTAAAATTAGCTAGTTGGTTTAATCACTGAGATTTAAGCACTAATAAATTGGTATGTTTCAAATGAGAGGTTTTATCATAATTCAAACATTGTTATAATTAATGTTCTACAACTATGTAAGTAACTGAACTAAAATAAGGTTCTCTGGGAAAATCTTATATCTTTTATTAGACCAACTAAACAGCTGGAAAAAAAGTTTGTAGTAAGCTTTTGGGTTTAAAATTCCTTCGTCAGGTTGAGAAAGCATCTGCAGTTGGTATGTGCTCTTCCCAACTGCAGATGCTTCCTCAGCCTGATGAAGGATTTTTAAACCCAAAAGTTTGCTAAGAAAAATTTTTCTAACTATTTAGTTAGTCTAGTAAAAGATATCAGATTTACCCAAAGAACCTTGTTTGCCTATGTCCTTAGACCAACATGGCTACAACCTACACTCCTGAACTAAAATAATGAATTTTATATATAATAAAATGTCTAGAGTTTATTCCATGCAAAACAAAGCAACAGTTTTAAATTGTGCATAACCCATTTGGTTATGTTATTTCATTTTATAGAGACTTTGCTTAATGAGGGTTTATTTATATTATTTATCTATACTCTCTTATATGTTGTTGTTTCAAACTGCTAAATTTAGTATAACATTACCTGTTCAAAGAAGGTTCACATATGTAATCCCCTTTCCCCTCATCATATTGAAATGCATCCTGTATCAGAGACCATATAAGAATTTGGATTTGCTGAAATCTCTTACGGGGGTGCTGACCCCTTTGTTGCAATTCGTAGTCCACAATGATTATGTTAACTCCATGTCTATTTTATTTATTGTCTGGGTCTCGGGAGATTTGCATATAACTTGCACTGTACATGATGAAGACTAGTAGATTAGATTATATCACTCCAGAGCACTATCTTGCTGTTATTTGTTAGTGATATGTACTCTTCCAAAATTGTTGTAAAATTCTACCTTTTATTCCATCATAATTTTAGTGTTGTAAGAGTGATTTTTAGTTTATTACAGATTACATATTTTAATGTACTATAGACAACTTTTAAATCAGATATATATTTTATATAAATGTAGTCAGTCTGTGCTGCAATGTTACACTGTAATTAATAGGAACTTTTACATTAACCATTTTAGTACAACTTTTTATGGACCTCTGTGCTATATAGGCTGATTTTAGCACCATACTAACAAGAACACTAAATTTAAGAAGTCAATACTTTATATCTTTAAGCACAGAAAGGAACGTTTTGTTTTTATCTGAACTATATAAAGAATCCTATAGCTGATATATTAACATAGAAATGACTGTCATGGGGTGAATTTAATGTCCTGTGTATTGGGTGCTGACTCTGCACAGCACCCCCTTCTTCAGTTAGAGGAAAACAAAGATTCAGATTCCATCCTTTAGTACAAAACAGTTGGATTCCCCCGAGGGACATTAGTTAATTGGCAGAAATTCTGACATCTTTTCCAAAGACTTTAAAGAAATGTAAAAAAATGAATGCAAAAGACCCACCAACTGCTCTCAAGATGACAAAAGACATCAAATTCAGTGAATTGTTTCACCTTTCTGTACTAGTCTGGCATACCTGCTTCTGCCATTGGCTATACCAATGAACAGAAGAGATGACCTGCAGCAGATAACTCTGCTTCTTTTTCCTTGACTCCCAAATGGAAAACATTTCCATATGTGGGTTATTTTAATTTGATAATAATTTGTTTAATCTTAACCATCAAACTTTCCTCATAGCTTTAATGTCGTATGTAGTTGTGTGTATTGAATATCAGAACACAAGTCAAACGCAAAGAGAGAGAAAGAGAGAGAGAGAATTTACCCTCAAAAAACTAACAACACAGCTGTCTATTGTAAGTGTTACCTACTTCCAGGCAATAAAAGGATAGCTGCCTTTTTCCTGAAAGCATGGAAAGTGCTGTTAGGTATAATTCTTGACCACACTGTACTTAGTCTTATTCTCTGTTCAAAGAATAAGTTATTAAAGAGAATAAATGAGTCATATTGAAAAAAATGTTTATTAAAATCCACTCAGCTTAAGATTTAGTCTTTAACTTTGTATTTCCTGTCTCTACCTTATTCCATTCCTAAGGAATAGCAAGTTTTTGCCAAGAAAGAAGCTTCGGTGTGCATCACATACAACATTGCTTCCTTTTTATTGCAACTTAGCTCTCCTGTGGTGGAAGCCAGGTTTTTGGCATGCACAATTCATCCAACATTGAGAAGATGCAGCTCAGACCCGAAGGAGTTGCATCTATGTCATAATCAACTGTAGTGGCCTTTTAAGTCTTTAAGGAATAAAAAGCCAGGCCTAACCCCAATTTTTCAGCCTTCAGTAATCTAAATGATATGCCCGCTCAACTCTGAATAATCAATTGCTATTAATAACCAAAGCCAGTGCATCTTCACAGAACATATATGTTTCATACCAAGCCTTCCTAAGAGGTAAAATAGTATCAGAAACTTCTGTAACCACAAAGAACTGCTTAGTCAAATGCAAGCTGAAGTAAACCAAGTTTGCAAACCTCTGATTCCATTCACAGTTTCTATAGGATTTGGTATTTACATCAGATAATCCAGAAGTAACAGGAAGTGTAGGTTTTTCCTTTCCCCCACCTGAAATTTTCAAACCTGAATATTCTTGATAAAAAGACTCAATGGGCTGTAGCTTGTAAATGTGCCAGGGCATGTCACTATACTCCAGTGAGAATACTATTCCTATAGCAAATATATTCATGGATTTTTAAAATCAGTTAAAAATAACACAGCAAGAGCATTGGTGCTAAAGTACTCTCAGATACACACAAGAAACTAATCCCTAAAAACATATGCATTAACATCACATTGTTAGTAACCTCAATTCTCTGCTGTGCCCAGCAATGAGACTTTTTTGTAAGCATTTTAAGAAAAGACAGTTTGTTAGACATGGCTGTCAAGTCTCCTACCAGTTCACTCTCCTCTTCCTCTGCTGCATCTTTCTTATTTTCTTCTTTCTGGTCTTCAATATTTGCATCAAAATCTTCCATTTCCACCTGGTCCAAAACAAAAACAAAGGATTCGGTTGCACTGTTTGATAAAGTATTATGTACTTCACAGAAAAGACCCCAGAACTCAGATAACAGAACATGGAAGAGAACAAACAAATATACTGGTGTTGACACAAATGCCATTCCCCCCACCACAGAAGTATTTCCATTTCAGATTCTCTTCTTGATTCAGAAAAAAATGAATTTGGTGTAGGAAAGTCACAGTAATAGCTTATTGTTCTCGACACACATTTTGCTAATGGATCCTATCAGTAAAATACTTCTCTCATGTTACATACAAACACACGTTTCAAAATGTATATTAATACTCAAAGTCTCAAAAAGGATGCCAAATTCAGAACTTATACACCATCTGGCAAGAACCCATTCTCTAGTTGCCAACATGTCTCTACCAAGCCTATATCTTAAGGCATATGTAGATACTACATGGACAGAGACCTTGAAAAGTAATAAGGTTGAGTATTTTCAGGTACAAGATGATTTCACACCCATAATCAACTTTGCCCATGTATTGCTTCCTATGACCTCTCTCTGCTGATTTCATATACACACACCAAAGTATACATAAATTCACTCAATCTGTTCATAACTCCTCATGCCTTTAATGAAAATGGAATGCACAAATTAAATTAGATTCCAAAATTACATTTGATCCGACTCTTCTTGAGATCTGAGACTTTTGCTCCTCTGAAATTAGTAGTTTCAAGAGCTTTAGTACCTGTAGACTGTAAAATGCATTGCTGACCTCAAGGTTTGTAAGAAACCTTGAGTTTTCAAGAAGTTGCAACTAATAAATCTTGTTTTCTTACTTTGGCAGCCCAAGTGACTAGGGCTATAACAAAAGCTGCTGTGACATCACATGCAACTGTGTTATACTCCAAATATACACAGTTTGTGCACCAATCTATTCTCGGTGTAGTAAAATACCTGTCTAAGACAATTACAAAAGTTAACCCAATAAAGCTATGTTAAAGCAGACTCTGCTGGGAACACAGCATAACAGACATTTCTCTCAAAGATTTCTTCTCCAGCCACATAATATGCTTTTAGACCTTTATTTTCTGTGACAAGATCTCTGGACTTTCCAAAGCAGACCCAGAGGTATCAATGGGTTTCAGAAACTTCATAACCTTTTTCTAGTTTCTGACCTGATTAATCAATCAGATGTAGAGCAGAAATAACCCCTGGCACCTCCTCTGAGAGGGCAACAGTGCTCTTAAATAAGCAGACAACAGCTGTGGAGAGTGAAGTTCTTAACAATAGCCCAAAGAGGCATAAGTATAGGCTCCACAGGAGGAACAGTTAAATACTTCACATTCTTTCTTGTCTGGGAGAGTCATGGGGTAATGTAATGCACTGCTGATTCAACTGGCATTTACTTTGGTACAGTTCCAAATATACTACTGCTTCCTAACATGTGATGACTAGATCTTTCTGCAATTTACATTTGCAATATAAATACAAACATACACTTTCACTGCACTCAATTACAGCAAATCTCACCTCTTCAATAGCAGCATCTTGTAACAGAGAACGAATATCCAAACGCATCATGTGACGTGGTGCAGTTTCCCAGTGATCAGACATCTAAAGAGAGACATACAAAATAAAGCATCTTCTACAACCCAATACAAAGGAAGAATGGAGGGTTCTATGTTCAAGAGTGCAATCAGCAAGAACCACTGGGAAAATGGGCCTATCTTAAAAACAAACCAAACCAAACTTTGGACTACATTTGTTATAAAAGAATAAACTTTTACCACTATTAATGGGCCTGAATGCTGAAAGAAAGGCAACTTCAGTAACCCCTGTGATTCCACATCTTTATACAGTTACCCTATTGATCTCCTTCAGCTTGCGTCCATGAATATTCCTCTTGGAACAAGTCTGGTTATCTGCACTCATTTCAGCTAGATATACCTAGAAAGAGAAACTCAATATTAAACACTGAAAATATACTAGGAAACCAGTAAGTTCACCAAGGTGTTAATAACAGGTGTTATGGCAGTTTTTCCACAAAGTATTTGAGTGGAAGGGTTATAGATGCTGAAGATGTACTTATGAAAATTAGCAAGCCCTTATACCACCACATAATAGTTGGCCTCAAAGAGGGCTTCATGGGTTTCTTTTCATCTATAGAGGACATGGCTTTCAAAAGTCTGGAAACACTGGTTTACAGATGCTATTGAGTATGATTACTTCTTGAACCCGTTACCTCAAAGCCCTTTGTTTTTGCTGCACTCCAGAACTGTTCAAAGTGCCGCACTCTGTCATTGATGGCATCAAGGATAATGAATGGAAAGAAGCCATCATCCAAGGTCTTTTTGAAGGTTTTAAACATGCTCGTGCGGTAGGTCTCTTCCATGTCAGCTTCATATTCATATTCCATCACCTGGGTCCAGGACAAAAACAAATTATAAGAAGGCAGAAAGAACCCTAACATAGGTGCAAATCCAAAATGCTGACATCACAATCTCTGAGTACAGGCAGTCCTTGGACTTATGACACAATTGGTTCCTGAAAACCACATCTTAAGTAGGAATGTCATAACTTGGAACCGATTTTCCTATAGGAACAATGTTATAAATGGGGGATTGGTTCCTGAACCAAGGCCTGATACCCCCTATTTTCAACAAAAATAACCCAGAATTTTGTACTCAGTGAATTCTGGATGAGTAATATAATTACATTAATATATTTATACTGTAAACAGAAATCATATTGATCTGGAAGGACTTCTTTGAGGTGACATTGCTGGACTTTTTGAAGGGCTCTTGGCTGGAGTCTTCTCAGGAGTCTTGGCTGCAGTTTTTTCTGGAGTCTTGTCCACTTTCTTAAACAAAAGCGTCCAAGGAAGTTTGGAGAGATGTTCTCCAGGGAGATGGGCGACGCAGCAAACTCATTCACTTGTGTGGTGTGGCATGGCATCAAGCAGCGTAAAGTCAAAACTGATGCCAGAAAGTTGAAACAGGGTGTCAATTTATAAATGTTGTAAGTGGCATTTGTTGTAACTCAAAACGTCATAAGTTGAGGACTGCCCGTATACAGGAGTAGAAGCAAACTTCTCTCTTCAAGTACATTAAAAATGTTTTTAATATCTCTCTCTCTCTCTCTCTCTCTCCATATTCTCTCATTTGGCTACATATGGAAATGCCTTGCTCAAAAGAAAACAACACAATCTACTATCCCAAAGCAATAGATTTAAACCCTGTTGTAAATACATTATTTCATGCCTCCTTAAAAACAAAAACTCCTCTTCCTTTCTTCAGCAAAGACCTGTGTCAAGAAACAAACTGAGTATACCTTCTTCTTCACTTTTTTCCCTGTATCTGGGTCTCTCTCCTCTTTTTCCACTTCAGTGATGAAATAGTCATCCAGGCTGAGCACTCTGGGTGCAGGCCCTCCGCAGTCTACTTCCTTATCCTGGGAATGAAAAGGATGAGTATAAATTCCATTCTACCATGGGGGACCTCAGAATGCACTGAGCTTTTATCAGTATTCTGTTTAATGCTGAGCAAAAAATAACTGATCCTTTTACAGATTATCACTGCCCTTCTATACTGGAGAGAAATTCCATTTGAAGATAAGGAAGCTAATATAAGTATAGTACCCACTTCAAATATCCTTTAAGTAAATATAGAAGATTCTGGTCCACAGATTGCACACTTACATGGGTAAATGGACACTGAGGCACACCGGAGTGGTGGCCAAAATTTCCGGCTGGAACACACTTAAAGAAATTGGGACGGTTCTGTCCAAGACTAACCTAATACGAACCCTCTGTACAACTTAACTTGACTGAACAGTTCCCTGTCCATACATGTATACCATTAAAGCCAAATTTTCTCTCTCTTTCTTATATAGCACTGGACAAGTCGAAAGGAAAGAAATAGCAGAAGTATGTACACAAAGGCATCTGCTGACATGCTAAGATTTAAGGGCTAAGGAGAGTCTGACAACACAGGAAGCAGCTACTTACTTACCCTGATTAATTTTGCTACATGTGTCTTTCCACTGCCAGGCAATCCCCTCATTATGATAACAATCTGGAACAGAGACCATGTAAAGGGAAAGATGAGCTTTAGTGCTCTATTAAAAGAACCTTCTGAGAACAGGAAATGGTCTTCTCTCTACCAACCAAAATACTCTAGCTCACAACCCTGCATCCCTTGGATACAGATTCAAAAAGCAGTTATAAACCATTTTGCTGGAAACAGTAAAGACCAGAACCTTTGGTCATACAAATCATTGTAGTTCCATTAATCAATCAACTGAATGGTGTAAATCAATGCAGTGTGCCGATTTATACCAACTGAGACTGTCTCTATAATGTAAATTTTAATGGATTTGGGTAAATTAGGTTATTAGGATGAACCCAACTTGACTAAATAATTCCCCAACCACACGTACACACAATACCAACTTTTCTTTCTTCTTTGCATTTCCATGGAAGGCCTCTCAAAGCTCCCCCCAGATTGACCTTCACAGCTTTGTTTGCCCCAATCTCTTTACAGCTACCTTCACTTTGTCTATGATTAATGCACTAGATATCAATCTGCTCCCTTTCAGGGGCTCACAGATTATTTGATGGCCTTGAAGGTGACTAGAACCTGCTTCAGAAACTTGTATACCATAAATGTTAGAAATGTATCAAAATATGGACCATTATACATAGGCTGTTGCTTTCAGAATGGATAGCAACTCCACACTACTCACCCTCTCTGGCCTGCTGTCCCGTCCTGGTAACTTCAAAATATCATCTACATTTTTAGACTCTGGCTTCCTCTCCACTCGTGGGGTAGGGGGAGGCTGGCGGGGTACTGATGGAGCAGAAATGGGCATTCTCTCCTCAGGGTAGTTTCTTCGATCACCTACAAATCCCAGAAATTGTAGACACATTTGCTCAGCCCAGTGAAATCAGAAATCTGTGACTCTCCCATTCTCAATCCAAGGGATTTGAAAAGGCACCAATAATTTCACACTTTGTTTTTGCCTCAGTTATAGTCAGGTTTGTAAAGGAAAAGGTAAAAATTAACTCGTATCGCAAAAACAGAAAATCTGGACTGATGGAAATGTTTCAAAGAGGCAGACTGTCTACTCATATGAGAACAAGACAAATAAAGGATCACCGCAGCAAAAATCTCAGCCACCAATGGTTTCCTCTATACCCTAAGGAAAGCTGTTTATAATCTCTTTAAAATTGTAAAATGGGAGTAATAAAGAACATCTTCTAGGTGGGCTGTGAGGCTTAAACACTGTTTCTAAAACACTTTAATTATCTAAATCTCCTACAGAAGTGTTGAATATAATTGTTGTCTGGAATAAAACACCTGGAATGATCGTCACAATTTTTCTGGCTAATTTATGTTAGTCTGTGACTATTTGTTTCACAGTTCTGCAAACCAGAGGAAATATAGGCAGATACAGTGTGAAATCATATTATTAAAATCCATGGTAAATAATGGGACAGACAAAATCCAAAACAAGTTTAGGTGGTTTTGACAGATTTGTGGTACATATCTGTTGGATTTTCACTTTTGAAAAGTCCAATTTTTTCATAACCCTTTCCTTCCTGCTGCTTAGCAATACTGGAATTAAATCTGCTTTGCCCATGGGAGTAAGACTATGGACAGTGATAAAGACCTAAAATATCATTAAAATGTTAGCATCAGGAGTTAAGCACTATGGCAGTCAACACCAACTAAGGCACTATTTCAACACTGAGGAATTCTGATTACAGGTACCTGTATTACTGATGGGCAAACTAAATGCATTTTTCTAGATCTCATTATCTGAGAAACATACAACCACCAGTACAATAAATTATTCTGATAATCTCCACTAAAATTTACATCTTTACTGAAGGAATTCAAATGATAAAATTAATCTTCCTGTGATCCCATCTCCCTTGTTACCTTTTCCCAATCTTCTACTACGGGGGTTTTCAACCTTTTTTGGCCAGGGTACCCCCAGCGGCTGGTCGAGAAGCGGGGAGTCCCCCAGCAGCTGGTCAACAAGCAGGGGTTGGGGGGCCATGCAGTGTGCAGCATATAACAGCAAAACCAGAAGTGCCAGCAGCTTCTCTGTGCTGCTGCTGCATACCCCGTGGGGCCTTCCAAAGTATCCCCAGGGGTACGCATACCCCCAGTTGAAACCCCCCATGTACTACATTCAAGGAACTGTACCTCCAAACATGGAAGGTCCATGATCATAGGTTGAGCGATCTGGCTTCCTTTCATATGATGGTCTTTCAAAGCTCCCTCGCCTTGTGGAGGGATGATCTTTCTTGTCACGGTAAGACTGCGTCCTTGAAGGTACAGTTGGAGGAACCCTGCCATAAGAGACAGTATTTCTACAATGTTCTAGGATATTTCCTAAGGAGTACATCAAAAACTTGCAGTTTGTGAACCTAAATTGCAAACAGAACTGACTATCTGACAAGCAATACAGCATTAATCATGTGGACATCTCAGCCTGTCCTACATTACATACCTGTCCTCTCGAGGGTGGCGCTCTTTCTCAAATCTCTCACGATCATAATCTCCAGAACTACGGTCTCTGTGCACTTCCCGCTCCCTCTTGAAATCTCGGTGATCTATACTGGAATTGCCTTGACGCTCAAAGTAAGGTTCACGATCTCTTTCTCTGTTGTAACGGTCACGCTGGCCTGGGTGCTCTGAAAAAAGAAAACACAGAAATCTGAATGATAAATATAATCTCCAAACCTTAAAAAGCTCCCAAAAGTACAGGAAAAGCAAACAGGAATATAGAGCACTGAAGTGGAGAGGGGCTCCCATTTAGTAGAAAACCAGTTCCCAACTGTGCCAGTAAAACTGTATTATACAATTGAATTAATGTATTTATAAATCTCCCTCTTGAAGCTAGTTAGATTGCTGGTCCTACAACTGCTACTGGAAGCATACGAATGTTATCCTAATGAACCCCTACAAGAGAGCAGCACACAACCTTTTGCTAGAAAAAGGGACCTCTGGTTTCATATACACCTGTGCTGTCTCCCTACACCTCTCTCAGAGCCATTTCAGAGCTACCCACCTTTAGGGAATGGCTGTCTCTCAGGCAGAGGCTCTGGTCGCAGGGTTATTCTTTCCCCATAGGGAATTTGTTCTACTTTACTGGTGGTAATATCTGATAAAGAAAGTCAACAAGAAAATAATTAAGAACTGCTCAAAACTGTTCCTCAGTTCCTGTCTCATCCAAAGCAATAATATTGTGACATTCAAAAGAGGAAAAGGTAACTTGGCCTCAGTATGCAGAGGTCTACCATATTAAAAAAACGTTACTACATTAATGTTAATCAATGACTACACAGAGGAACGTGCTGGACTATTAATGTATTATTTCCTCATATATGTAACTGTCATTATTTCAATTAAAGATACAGATGTGAATTGAATATATTTCCCAGAATAGCAGTCCAAATGGCAGTCCCTAGCAACACTGCAATTAAAATCTGTGTTTCTGATCCTAGATGTGCATCAGTGAAGGCCAAAGGTGAAACAAACAGGGCTGCAATTAATTATTTTTACTACTGTCCTATTATTAGAGTGGAATTTAACACTGGAAAAGAAATGCAAATTACCTTTAAATGCTCCTAGCTAAAATTCATCAAAAAAATCTGACCTCAGCACTGTATGTTTTAATAATTTTTACTAAAAATACTTAGACTCTGTTGAAGTTATTAAGAGGTAAAAAATAAAATAGTTTAACCAGAAAGGAAGTTTTCAGCATTTTTGTAACTTGCCATATTTGCAATTTTTTAGAAGTTAATTTCTTTAAGACATTCTCACTACAACTAAGGAAACTTGGCACTACTGTATTTTTTCACATATAACACACACCCTATTTTTGGAAGGCCTCAAGAAAGAAAAAAAGATCTTACCTTGGAGGACAGGTAAATACTTAAGATCTAGGGCCTCCAAGACTCAGGGGCCACAGGCAAGGGTTGACACTGGTGGCCAGCCCGATCCAGATGTGCAGTACTGGGGCCATGTGGTAGGGCTTGATTTGACCATGGCAGAGCTGGGTGCTGGGCCCAATCTGATTGTGCAATACTGGGAACTGTGTGGTAGGGCCTGATCTAGGCACGGTGCAACAGGGCTGGGGATACTTGGTGGGTCCAACCCTGTCTGCTGGCTCCAGAGCTGTATGCCAGGTCCAACCCAGCACACAGTCACAAAGCCAGTGCATAGTCTGGCCACAGGCCAATCCAGTGCAGCAGCCAGGTGGCCATGTGTGAGGGAAAAAGAGAGGAGAGGAGAGGAGAGAAGAGAAGAGAAGCAGCAACAACACTGAATTGCCACAGCTCCCAGAGCCATGGCAATTAATGCTGCCACAGCTCTACCCCCACCAAATGCCCAGACCCATGGGGAGCCTTTTCCTCACATACAATGTGAACATATAATTTTCCCCAGCTAGTTTGAAGAAAAAAAGTATGGGTTATGTGTGAGAAAATATAGACTACAATGATATACGGAGCTTTACATGGAAACTGTGGTAAGAGTTTGAGCACACTTTGAGGTAAATATCTCAGAAAATGCCTATATAACAGGGGCGGGCAATTATTTAGGGCGGAGGGCCGTTTACTGAGTTTTGGCAAGCTATCAAGGGCTGCATGACAGGCAGCCAAGGACAGATAGATGTTAATTTTCTAAATTTTTTAGGGGCCCCGCAGGCTGGATAGACTGGCCTGGCGGGTCACATCCAGCCTGCGGGCCGCATTTTGCACACCCCGCCCCCTACATAAGAAGGAACAGGTCCTTTCTAATTAAGTTAACCTATTGGATTAGTTCATCCACTACTCACCTCTGCCATGGCCATAGTCCACAGTCTGCTGAATTAGAGGTGGTTTAGAAATTGATGGCATAACCGAAGAAAGTGATGTTGATACAGATGACAAAAGGGAAGGGTGAACAGAAGATGAGGCTGGTGGTGGCAACCCTGAGTCTGATTTACATAATTCATACTCTAAATTTGCTCCCTTATCTTCATTGGTATCCCAGAGCCCATGGAAAGAATCCTCATCCCAACGTTCCTGTTCCACAGTAGCAAGTGATGGCTTTAGACCTGGAGTCTGACTTGAGGATGCAATTGGAGTAGGAGATGAAGAAAGTGGCCTTGATACGGAGGCAGATGACCTTGTCACTGTGGAAGTAGGCCTGGTCACTGCAGTGGGCTGCCTGAACAGAACTGGTGGCTTTATAATAACAGCAGGAGAAGACGTAATAGGTTGAGATTCTAATGATGTCTCAGATGGATGTTGAGAAGACACCTAGGTACAGAAAGCATTTTTAATAAGAACCTGAAAACTAAGCTTCCCTTATCCCATGAGGATATGGTAACCAAAACCCTCTGTATAACTGTTGCATCCCAGCCAGAAAGGTGCTTTCATAACAGACTCTCACATATTCTCTAACCATAAGCATTTTCAGGTCCACCCATGGGAGGCCACAGCTCAGAGAACACTGATATTCACAGATAGTCTCCTACTGGTGGAAACTGCTCACAAATTCATCCTACACGTTAACTTAAGTTAACGATCAATGAAAGCTTAACTCTTTTATTAATAACTTTACCAAATTATGATCTCTTTAGCCAAGGTTCCTCCAACTTACTCTCAGCTAAGAGTTGCACTTTAAAAGTCTATGAGAAATAACTGCTACTAAAATCATCAAAAAGTCTCAACTAAGACTGATTCTACATTAGTGAATGTGTCCACAGGTGTAGCCAAACAAGTACAAAAACAGTTTACTTGTAATTAGTATATATAAACGAATGAACTATATTCTCCGGTTTGAGAAACCAGATAGAAAAGCACTCCAAAACAGTCAAGAACATTGTTTGTACTTTCTAAACTTGCAGCTAAACTGTTTAAAGCAGCAGTTCAGCAATATCATTGCTAACAATAAAGTTAACTTCTTGATAAAAACAAACTCTGCAGGGCAGCTAGGTTACCCATCTAGCTTTCTTTGTATCAACCCTACCTATAGATAAAGTCATCCTCTGTGCAACTCCCAGCAAAACTTCACCCTTTCTATAGTTAATGCAAGTTCCTTGGCTTACCCAAGAGAAAACCTGCTTTGTGTACAGCTAAAATCTAAATAGAAATCTTGCTGGCTCCTCCTTCATTGAACTGTAAGATCAAAGTATTTTTTCCTCCATCTGGGTTTATATTTATCAAAGTACACTTTTGTGGGGGTTGACTTTAAGTGCTAAAATATAAACGTTTATGGACTACCATCTCATACCTCACTATAAGTAACCAGGAAACCAGGTCCACAATATCTCAACTAAATTAGAGACTCAATCTGATGTGCAGATGTAATTTACCTGATAGGAACCTGGCCTTGGAGTTGTGGTCTGTGATCTAGAAGTCTCATGTGTTGGCAGTTCAGGCTCAGGTACAAACTCTTTCAACTTCTGCATCTGCTCTTTCTGTTCCCTGCACATCAATCACAAAAAGTGTTATCATTCCACAGTTAAATGCTCCTTTACAATTTAGGAAACTAACAAAAACATACTTCAGTAGTACCAACAATGAATATTTACTATTGAACTTTCTATTAAAAAAAAAAAAAAAAAACCACAAACAGCTGATAGCATCCCCAAAGCCAGCCTTCTGAGAGGTGCCTAAGATAACCTGTAGGTTGTCTGGGACAGAACCTTTTTAAAAAAAAATTATTAACCATGTTTACTATAGCAGCGTGAAGGGCCAACCAAGAACGGTGCCCATTGTGCTAAGCAGGTAGAGATAAGAAAGTACCCACTCTACAGCAACTTTTCAGTACCCAGCACAATACAGTCCTTTTCCAAGAACAGGACTCCCAAGTACCACTACTGTTCAAATTACAAGAGTAACTTGGAGCACCCCCCTCAAATCCAGTGCTCCTAGCACTAGCTTTGGAAAAATGAATTGCTGGCAGATTCATAACTATGTGCAGCATATGCTAGAGCTGATATATGCATGATGAGAACAGATCTAAATAAGGGCACCATACCCAAGGTTGTGAAAAGCAAGATTTCTGCTACTCCTCCCGCCTCAAAATATTAGATGCTGTTTTAGTTTCAAACCACTTCCATTGCAACATTTTGCTTAGAATCTGCTCTTTCTGTGTGATCTATACTTTCTGAAGACAAGTGCCCATGTAAGATAGCAAACTCATCTTAAAATATGGCTTGATATAAAAAAGAGCAATTTCCTTAGAATTTTTAAAACTGAGGAAAATATTGTATCTACTCAAATCAAGATGAGGACCCCCCGCATTTGACATGGAGGAAAATAGAAGCCTCATCCTGGATTCAAGTACTGGCCTGGGGCAGGTGGCTACTGCAGCTATAGCTCCAACCCAGGCCTGGAGCCAGAGCTACAACCATCTGTCCACAGCCATGCAGTGCAGGCAGAGGAGAAGGGAGATTGCATGGTGCAAGGTAGGGGAAGCATCAGGCAGACAGTGCAGTATGGGGGACACACAAGGGAGACTGTGTAGCGCCCACTCCAGGCCAGAGCTGGGGGCAAAGCTGCCACTGCCTTACTGGGCTGGAGCCACCATGTATTCCATGCCCTAGGCCAGAGCTACCACATAAGGTAAGGCGGACACATGGAAGGGACAGACACCAGAGAAGGCAAGTGGCAGGCAGAGGGGGCAGGCACCAAGAAGAAGCAAGTGGCAAGGGGATCAGGAATAGACACCAGAAGGATAGGGGGGCAAATAGCAGGAGGGCAGCTGGAGGGGGCAAAGTGCAAGGGTCAGGCTACCTGCCCCTAGAGATGTGAAGGCCTGGACAAAAAAAAAAAAAAGAAAAATTTGGGGGAAAAAACTGGTTTGGGTTTTTGCTGTTTTTTTCTGAGGACTTCTTTTGTTTCTTTCCAAAAAATTGAAAATTTTTGGAAAAATTAAAAAAAACCTCTTATGAAATATTTTCTTTTAGAATGACAAATAAAATGTTTAAGACAAGGTGTTTATATATTGCTACCCTTTACTCCCCCAAAATGTTTTGTAATAACTACGTAATAGGAAAACTTTTACGTAAGACTATCTACAGTATCAGATCATTACAATTCCTGTACACTGAGAACAAGCAGTACAGCACAACTCTCAAATGCAAGAGCAAGATGCATTTCTGCCTCCAGGGGACACTGCCATTTTCACAAAGAGAAGGAAGAAAGATTCAGTCCCTTCCTTGCTTGTGGACTTCCTCTATTGCTGACTTCTGATCTAGAGGTTGGTAGATCTGCCTAGTCAGGAAGACAGGAGCCTCAAAAGACTGGGAGTGGACACTGGCAACAGCATCTATTCAATCCTGTATAGATTAGAAACAAGGAGCTTATTGCCCTGCTTCCTCAAAAGCCTCAGGAGAGGAGACAGAGCAAGTCTAAAGGTTTTGGAGTTGGAAGGAACTTGCTAGCTCCTGGCCCTGTGACCCTGAGATTCACAGAAGTATGGAAGCAGCACAAAGGAGCTGAAAGAAAGTATACTTATTTACTGAAAAGTAAGAGTTTAAATTTATCTGAATTCAGTATATTAAACTATATTTTAGCGGCATTAGTATATTTTCATAACCTATGTAGTTCATAATTGAATTCCTATTAATCTGATGTTTTGTGACAAATCACTCAACCTTAGCAGTGAGGTGAGGCTTGCAGGGCAGGGAAGTTGTTCACAGTTAACTCTGAGGAGGCCTCTCCTCCATTTACTACTAAATTTGTACATGCTGTCGCTTAGTGTTTATATATGCAAGCTAGCCACTAAATTACATTTTTCTTACTTTTTCCCTCAGCAAAATGTTGTGACCAACTTCTAGCATATGGAAGCATTTCCACACTGCAAGTTATTCTGAGAAAAAAAAGTGATTTGCAAATATTGTTGAATGAAATATGCATTTCCAAATGCTACTAGGATGATGAAACACATCCTTGTAAGTGTCCTGCAGACATTAAAAAAATCCTTCCTAGGTGTAAGTGAGAAGGAGGCAGATCACAATGATGAAAGTGTAAATAGCTCTTTCCAACATTCTTGACCCAGAAGTCCTCCTACTGCTGCTGCTTCTATAAAATCAGCATCACAAACGGTTGCCCAATCAACATCCTTAAGTAACCAAATATTGCAACCAACTGTATACAAAAGACTCTCAATAGCTTCATTTGTAGACAAGTTGACACCTGAAGATCACGAAAAAATTGACCAAGCTCTTGCAAGAGCAATATATTCTTCTGGAACGCCATTGTCAATAACTGAAAATGCATACTGGCAAGAAGCTTTTAAATCACTAAGACCATCATACCATTTGCCCAGCAGATATTCTTTGAGCAAGCCTCTTTTAGAGTCAGAATATAAACGTGTAAGGCAATCTGTGCAAGGAAAAATCAACGAAGCACTGTGTCTTGCAGTACTTACAGATGGATGGACAAATGTGCGGGGAGAAGGAATCATAAACTTTGTGATAACAACACCTCAACCAGTTTTTTACAGAAGCACTAAAACAGGAGAGAACAGGCATACTGCAGAGTATATCAGTAGTAAAATATGTGAAGTCCTACAGAAGATTGGGAGTGGTAAAGTATTTGCTATACTGACTGACAATGCAAGTAACATGAAAGCAGCATGGGAGATCATAATGGATAAATATCCACATATTACTGCAATAGGATGTGCATCCCATGGGCTAAACTTGCTTCTTCTTAATGACAGCATGAAGTTGGGCACACTGCAAAAGATCTATAGAAGAGCAAAAGAAGTTATAAAACATGTAAAAGCTACTCATATTGTAGCTGCAGTCTTTAAGAAGAAGCAGGAAGAAAAGAATGCAAAGAATAAAATAGTGACACTCAAACTCTGTAGTAAAATTATATGGGGTCGAGTGGTGATCTCATTTGAAAGTTTATTAAAAAAAACAAAGAAGCTCTTCAAGAAACAGCAATAACTGAGGATCTTAAAGTATCCAGAAGTATAAGAAACACTGTTCTTGATGAGGATGGCTTCTGGGTTCAGCTGCAGAACTCCCTGAAGATACTACAGCCAATTTCTTCAGCAATCACTGCATCCAGTGCACTTTTGTCAGACATTCCTTATCAAATGGCCTAAATAAAATCAACTGCTTTTGAGAATCTAAGTGTATCTCCGCTTACAAGTACAGAAGAAAGAAAAGTGAAAGACTTTATTAACAGATGGGAAGAATTTTGTTGCCA